AGAGAGAGAGAGATAGATCGATAGATAGATAGATACATAGAAAGATAGATAGATAGTAGGTAGGTAGTCAGAGAAAGAGAGAGAAAGAGTGAGAGCGATCAATCACCTTTCGATCCATCAGTGGCTTCGCTCTGCCATCCCTGATTCACAACAACCAACCTCTCCTATAGGTTTCCTATTTTTGAAACTTCCGCCACCGCCTTGTGCGGTACTACTGGTATATTTTCCCAATGTCTATTCTGTCTGAAGAAATACACGTGCTAACACCTCGTTAACCTTGATTCATGAGAAGAAAATTGAAAAACAGTGAACTACTGCGAAAAACCAAAGACACATATTTCGCTATACAAGTGGAGAAAATGAATTCTGTTTGTTGCTTTGGCGTTCCCGGTGTACATCAGGCTGTCCTCCTGAATCTAAACTCAATGCAAGAAAGAAATGAAGGAAATGAAGCACTATGTTTTGATTTTGTCACAAAATACGTATAGTTTTGGATAGCAAACCATCGTAGGATATCGTAGGTCAATTCCCACCGGCGATTCCCCCAATGGCTGCCATGGCTGCCTCCGATGGCTCAAGCATTTCCTGCGGCTCAAGGGATGACAAGACCAGCCACATGAGCCCCAAGATATGCTCTCAGTCGACCAAAAAAAACAAAGAAACCGATTTCTGGTCGTGTGATGTAGACAAGGGATGACAAGGGTAATGTACCGAGAGCCGCCTCATCACCCAGCTCCAGAAAACACGTTGCCAGCTCCACAATATCCAGCTGACCTTTACCTCCGTCAAAACGAACTGGGGTCCTTCTCTTGGAAAATGGGTAAGGCTCAATTCAAAGCCCCAGAAAAGCGATGAGTTTGAATCATTTTAAACATTCACCATCCATCTTTTTGGTGATACCCAATCGACCAGATCGGAATTGTGCACTGACTTGGCAACTTGGGAAGATGTGGTGAAGGGATGTGGATACTGGTTCCATCAAACACTTTGGCTAACCGTCAGCTTGTAGCTTGCATCCGGGTGGCTGTTGCTTGGCATCGTTGCGACACTTGCCTCGCGACCCGGCGGAATCCCAAGCTGTCTAGGACTCTGCGAGTCGCTGGTGAGAAGAAATCGTGGTGAACGCAAGGCCGACTTCTCTTCAGTTTCTGAATAAAGGAAACTGAAAAACACCGGACTACCAAAAACAAGTGTGTCACTGAACAAGTGAAAAGTGATTTCGGTTGTTGCTTTGGCGTTCCAGTTGCAGACCCTCGTTGCTGCAGTTGCAAGTTCTGATTCCCCAACAAGCCTGGAGCTTCTTCTGGCTCAGCTCACTTCCTGGACGCAACATGTCCGATTTCAACCCACTGTACTGAAAGACTCCATAAAACAATTATATGTGTCAAAATATGTCAAATATATGTCAACCATGTATAAAATCCCAAAGCACCCGGGCATCAATCAACCTAACATCATTCATTCGCTCTCTCAAAATTCCATCATTCGATACATCCTGGAATACATCCCCTGGAAATCCTTTCCTGACACTTCTGATCTCACCGCGCCTCTGATCGCTGCTTGAACTTCTTCAGTGGACAAGGCGCCCTTGCTGTCCGTATCATATTGCTTCAAATAGTCAACCACAGCCTGCGCATCTCACCAGCAGCACATACCAGTAGTCTCTGAAATCCGCGAAAATTTGGCAGCTTTAGATCTCAGGGAGTCATTACAGTTTGGCCAGGTGCAAAGGCAATCATTTTGGCTGTCGTCATTTGACTGGCCTGAACCTGTTCGAGATACTTTGTCAATTCGTCCTGTGCCGTGCTGCTTGCAAAGCTACGCAAAGCTGAAAGAGAATCGGTGAAACAACAGGAACATCAAGCATTCTCAAGGCACAATGTTCAACTCACACGAATGAAACATCATGAAACATGAAACTTCACGAAGAATCAAGAATTGGACCATTCCCGAACCTACTGTCCGACTGTCCTGGATGAAACGGTGAAACGTCGCTTGGTCGATGTACTTTGGGCGACCAAGATCTGCCAAGTGCTTGTAGACCTTGCGGAAGCTCAAAACGCAAAGGGACAGTTCAACAACAGACCAAACATGACCAAACTGTCACAGGGAGGTGCGATTTCCTCATCAAAGATCCTACCCAAAAGCCCTATCTGCGGCCAAAGATCCTGATCCTCCGTGGGGTTCATCCCCAGGATCCGCATGGCCTGCCCGAGGCGTTCCGCAGGAAGTCCTCGAACTCCATCGCTGAAGTGCGCGAAGACCAGGTCGATGGAACTCATGATTTCGTCGTACAGCTTGCTGTGGACCTCGGTGAAGTCCCCCCACTGAGGGTCCATCTCGAGGGTCAGCCCTGAAAAGACACACAGGGAGGGTAGGAATACGAGAGATGGCAGGCTCAACATCAGAGGGTTTCTTAGGAAGATGCGTTTGCAACCACTGACCGCCCGTACAGAAATAGCGGAAACCACGAAAGGTGAGCTTGGAATATGGTTATCTGTTCCCAAATCTTGTGAGGAATTTGAGTTCTTCTGGTGGCAAAAACCCTCCAAACCAACAACCTTGCTGCGTGCAATGTGAGAACCTCGAAGCCAAGCAAGCTAGTGAAGACCTTATCAAAAGTGCTAGCACCATGCAACACGCTTCCAGCCCCTCACGTTTAATTTCCTAAGCCTCCCAACTTCCGGGCTGGTGTGCTCCTGTCAACCATACGGTTTCAGGATCATGTCTAGCAATGTCAACACGTTTTCTGTGTCAACGACCCATGACACCAAGCTCCTGGGCGGTCGGCATAGTGCCACCACTCCCTCAGAAAATGCAGAAGCTGAGGCCGGATGAAGACACTTTCAGTTTGCAAACATGAGCGCAGCACGACTTGATTCGGTCGTAGTTTGGCAGAAATCAAAATTCTTCTGAATCCAAGATAGATGCTTTCTATAAACTCATTTATGTGAATGGGAAACCAGCCGCGGGAATCGGACCATAACATTGCATCCTTCACTCCATTGGTGATACAATGGGGATACTACAACCCCCTGCGCTGAAGGGTGCGGTTTGGGGCGGGTGCACATGTTTTGAGTCAACTATAGCAAGGCAATCAAAGCACGGAACAAAAACGCCAAACCGATCTTGCCATATGCAACAAACCTTCCAGCCACAAAAATTCTTCAAGGACTATAACAAACTTCCGAGGGTGATTTTGAAGGTCTAAGACCGCGACGTCCTTCTGTTTGGTCCGCCTGCGGAAACGTGCAGAATGACAACCTCATCGCTTTAAAGAAACTGTCCACATCACGCCATGAGCAGTCTCGCCATGTCCAAACCTCGAGCTGAACTCCAAGCATGGAAGTTTGACATGAAACAGCATGAAACAGCCCATCCGTTAATGAATGAAGACGAATGAAGAGGTTAAACATGTCCAAAACCTACTTTAGTCTTTTAGCCGAACAGCTTTCTGTGGCCATGGTTTAAACATGTTTAAACCATTTGAACCTCTTGAAACAGCAGTTGCTGGATCTGAATCTAAATGAACAAACAAATGCCCCGTCACTCTGCCAGCCCACAAGATACCATGCACCTCAGCAATATTTGCTGACACAGCACGTTTGGCTGCCTCGCCATGCAGGTCAAATTTATGTACGGCCCCAGTGCGACTACACCCACACAAATATGCAGCACGGGGACAAGCTACCACCAAAACCACGTGGAGTAAGTGGGAGACGAGGCATTGCGGCATTGAAAAAATGCTCCCGTGGAGGGCCTGAGACGAGCCGCCAGAGCCCATGACTTTGATGTCCTGGGAGTCGACAACTCCACAACCGAAGACAGGAAGTGTTCATGACCTTATCATCTACGGGAAAATCATATGACATTTGTACAAACTCCCTGGGACCCCGATTGATTGATCATTCGTAGGGGACATGCGTGGAGATAGTCGCCCTCTTTGGCTATGGCGGCTACGGATGATGGGATTTGCTGGATCTCTCGAGGTGCCGGTCGCCTGAATGTTTCAATGTAGGTCTGACGTCATGTGTTTGTCCCGACCTATACTGCAACTGGTGGCCAAAAAAATCAAAAAAGAACGGGAGAAATGTCGATGTCTCAAGATTTCTCAAATTGAAAATATGTCGAGATGTCGAGTGTGGTGATCTAGGCCTGACAAGCTAAGGCAGCTGGGATCGGATTGCCCGTCCTTTAAGGAGGTCGACTCGGCGGTGAAACGCCTCGAAACGCAGAGACTAAACCTGAACTGTTTGGGAAACGGATGCAACATGAAACCAATGGAAACACTGGAAAACCCCCGGGGAAAGACTGAAAATTGCATGAAAGTGCATCATTGGACCTGAGATTGCAATGGAATCTACAATTTGGAATCATGTGGAACCAATATGAGCCTCAGCAAGAATATGTACTGCTGAGAGGACTGTCAGCAATCTGCGGGACAACTTGCCCTATGCACTTCCTGCGGCTCCGCGCTCTGGCTTTGCGCTGTTCCAAAGCCAAACAGGGTGAGCTCGGAATCGCGTTCAAAGAAAACGACAGAGAAAAACTTGTGACACAAGTGAGAAACCCTTTGCTACGGCATGCTACGGCGAGTTTGGAAATCTTTGTTGGACGTCTTTCCAGTGTCTGACGATCGTTGCACCTCCTTTGATCCAAGGTTTAGCACTGGTATCCGGCAATGGACCAAATGAATCACACTCAAATTGGGAGAATTTTTGCCAATTTTGCAATGACCTATAACGACCTTCCAATTTCGGAATGACCTTCCATTTTCTTTGCAATTTTTGGAGCTGCAAACTGCAACAAGTCGCAAAGAAGGCCCAACTGAGAGTCGTTTGTTCGGGTCCCACAAATACTGAACAAATGAATCCGTATCATTTCTGCGACTTCTTGCCAAAGTCCTCAAACCCAAAACTATCCTCAAACGGACAGCACGATGTACGATGTTTGTTGATCCACAAGATACGTTTGGGAGGCCTTCGGAAGGTTTCACTCTAGTGAGGTCCTCAGAACTTGTTGGGCCGGCCCGTGGCATCAGCCGAGTTTGATTTCCCAACTATAAGGACTCTCAAAGTATCCCATCAAAAGTGCTGCCCAATTTGGGCATCCCAAAGCACGGAATCGCTTGGAAAAAAATGACATGAAACGCAAGGTCCGCATCCACTGCAACCGGTGCAACCCTTTTTTCTCAGCGACGAGCAACGGTCGCCGGCTGTGGCGATCAAACAGCAAACGGCGCGCTCAGCAACAGCCGGGTTTGGGTTTTCGCATGCCTCTGGCGCACCACGCTCTAGGGGGATCATTGTGATGGTCATCAAAAAGTCATCCACCAGACCTATCTATATATTTATGTAGATATACATACATTTACATGTTTTAAGCCATCACGTTATTCACATTGGGGTAATTGATTTTGGATGGCATGCGGGAAACTATATATAAAATATACGTTTGCTAACAGAAATATTCAAATACATTTATATACATGTAGATACATTTATATATATATATATTGGTTGAAGGGATGATAATTTTGTAATTACGCTGTATTCAGTTGTATAAAGGTATTGTCCGCTCCCAGAAGATCCAGAAACACAAGAACAAATTCTCACCATGAACGACCCGAATGGCGCATCCTGGGCTTTCAACCATCGCTTCCTTGCTATCCAATCTTTTCACTGGCTTCTTGGTGATTGATGTGGTGAATTCACCATATATTTCCAAGGGCAACCCCACAATCCTTTGTTGCCTTAGATTCTTGTTGGATACGCCACAGTGACACGATTCATCCTGAGCAGTGCTATAGCGGTTCCATGGGGTGAAAACAAGTTAAATGGAGGCAAAACCACCGGTTATGGGTCAAAACCCGTCAAAACCCTCCTGTTCTCACCAAAACAGCTGGGAATTAAGGATGTTCACCCCAAATCATCATATTGATGGTTATATATATAATACAATATATGATATATGTATTATACAATTATACCGGTATGTCCTCTATTCCATTATACCGCCATTTTTGGCTAAATCCTCATCAAATCAATGCCTTGCTCTTTGCAAGGCTCTTGGTTTTCTGCTCCCGCTGCATCTCCGACCATATCCTAGGTCGCTTTTGGTTGAGCGGTGGTTAGTTTTCTGACATGGCCACGTTGACTCATGGAACATCGTCGATAGTCAATCTTCCAGGTTGGCTTCCCTTGAAACTTGAAGTGCAAAAAAAACACCTAACAACTCTTGAGACACTGGATATTTGGGGCATCTAAATCCTGTCACTCGTTTAGAAGGTGGCAAGTCCAGAAATGAGGCCCGCAATGCTGGGTGACCATGGTAACTCCAAAAAGTGATTGAGTAGAAACTATGGTCACTACCAACTCAGGAGTACAAGCTTAGATACTCATCTCGCGAGTAGCCCAACAGTTGTTGCTGGGACATCCATCATTAATTAGATATCTGTAGATGATACCATCCAGAAAGTACAGTGACTCAAAGTCGTGTTGCATCTGTGCTGGATATAGCGACAACATCTCACCACATCTCCAAGATTCTCATCCATATCAGCCATGCCAGGGAAAGGTGGCGGGAAGTACTGTGGTTTCTGCTGTTGTGCCGCTGCGCTTGCGGGAATGTCCCGTCCATCAGATCCCAAGAAATGGAAAGATGTCGATGTTTCAAAGGGGACACGTCTGATCTTGGAAGATCTGTCTTGCAGCCTTGCAGGTCGTATTCAAAAATGTCTGCTATTTTTGTGCAATCAACATAGAATTTTTTTTAAAAAAAAAAACTATTGCAAAACCAAACGCAGTCAGTGGCTGTCATGTCTGTGTCGACTTCGGAATGTCTGTCCTGATGATCCTGAAGGTAACAAAGCAGTCCATTGCTATGGAGGTTTCCATAAATGGAGCCCAATAGCTGCCAATAGCTGGATGGTTTATTTCATGGAAAATCCCATCTATAAATGGATGACAACTGGGGGTACCCTATTTTAGGAAACCCCCATATAGTTCTAGCAGGGTTTTTGTTCAAGACTTTTTAAATTAATCCTCAACAACCCCACTATATACTATATAATTACTGTACTGGTGTAAGATTTTGAAATCACGCAGTTCAAAACCCTTCGTGTGTTTTCTGTTCTTTGGCCCCACTTATGCGTGTCAATACTTCTTTTTTCCCACTTGTGGCATCCAGAATAAAAAACCTCCCGATTCGAACCATTTGGGTGCCATTATAAATTATAAATCACCAACTAGGCCACACTGGTGCACTCCGGAGAGTCCTGTCCTGGGAGAATATCGCGATTAATTTCTGGGGTCCTGGCCTTTTTAAGATTAAAATCCTGGTACCTGACCTTTCTTGCCGGAATTTATCGTCTCAGACGAATAAAACTTGCAGATTGGGAATGTTTTTTTGCGGATTTTTGGTGCCACAAAAATCGTTGCGATCGCCATTCCAGGTCGAAATTCCCAATCTATCTATCTTTGGATCAAAAAAAATCAACGTGCATTGGGGCATCTCACAAGTCGCAGCTCTAGATCAATCGAAGATGAACATGATTAAACAATATTAAACATGTAGGTCTCGCACGCTCAGGAGCAAGCAGACTGTCCGCCGCAGGAGTTGACTTTTGAACAAGCTCTGCTCAGCTGAGATCTCTATAATGTCATGTCGAGCTTGAAACCCATCTTCTTCTTTTCCTCGATCACTTGCTTCAAGGCCTGGCTGTGCGCAATGCTGGATGGCACTATGACGTCCCCCACAGCGCTAGCCCTCAGCACCCTCAGCACCCTTCAGTCTGGGTCAACAGAATCTGAACCTCAACACCAAGAATAAGCAAAGGCACCATGAGCAGCCACTTGGAATCCCGGGACACAAAAGGCCTTCACTCCCTCATCGCCGATGGAATTGTCCGACAAATCGATGCTTGTCACGGAAGTGTTCGTCTTCAAAGCTTCAGCTAGTGCCTGGCCGAAGGGAAAGCAACATGGAAGTAGATCAAGGTTGACATCTGTGAGACGTCATGAAATACAAATGAGACACAACTCTCAGTTTCCGACTCTGAGTTTCCAAAGAACAAATCCCACTGGATTCAGGGCAAATGTCTTTGACACAGAGATGCACTTCCAGCCAATATCATGCCAATATCCCAGTAGAAAGCATACCAGGCATACCACATCATACCACACAGAATGAGTTCAAGTCGAAAGTCAATTCATCCACTTCACTGGCAGTCAACAAAAATTGGAAACTGGAAATGCGAAGGATGAGCATGAGCAGACTACAAAACCTTTCACCAAACTGGCGACAAAGACACCATGAGCAGCCACTTGGAATCCCGGGACACTAAAGGCCTTCACTCCTTCATCGCCGATGGAATTGCGAGCCAAGTAAATGCGTGTCACGGAAGTGTTCGTCTTCAAAGCTTCAGCTAGTGCCTGGCCAAAGGGAAAGCGACTTGGAAGTAGATCAAGGTTGACATCTGTGAGACGTCATGAAATACAAATGAGACACAACTCTCAGTTTCCGACTCTGAGTTTCCAAAGAACAAATGCCACTGGATCTAGGATTCAGGGCAAATGTCGTTTACGGAGGTGCATTCTCCGCCAATATCATGCCAATACCCCAGTAGAAAGCATACCACGTCATACCACACAGAATGAGTTCAAGTCAAAAAGAAATTCACCCACTTCACTGACAGTCAACCAGATTCGAAACCTGGACATGCGAAGGATGAGCATGAGCAGACTACAAAGCCTTTCAACAACCTGGCGACAAAGACACCATGAGCAGCCACTTGGAATCCCGGGACACAAAAGGCCTTCACTCCCTCATCGCCGATGGGATTGTGAGCAAGGCTGATGCTTGTCACGGAAGTGTTCGTCTTCAAAAATTCAGCCAGCGCCTGGCCGAGGGAAAGCGACATGGAAGTAGATCAAATCTGACATCTGCGAGACCTCATGAAATACAAATGAGACACAACTCTCAGTTTCCAACTCTGAGTTTCCAAAGAACAAATCCCACTGGATTCAGGGCAAATGTCTTTGACACAGAGATGCACTTCCAGCCAATATCATGCCAATATCCCAGTAGAAAGCATACCAGGCATACCACGTCATACCACACAGAATGAGTTCAAGTCAAAATGAAATTCACCCACTTCATTGACAGTCAACCAGATTTGGAAAGTGGAAATGCGAAGGATGAGCATGAGCAAACTACAAAGCCTTTCAACAAACTGGCGACAAAGACACCATGAGCAGCCACTTGGAATCCCTGGACACAAAAGGCCTTCACTCCCTCATCGCCGATGGAATTGCCCCACAATTTGATGCGTGTCACGGAAACGTTCGTCTTCAAAGCTTCAGCTAGTGCCTGGCCAAAGGGAAAGCGACTTGGAAGTAGATCAAGGTTGACATCTGTGAGACGTCATGAAATACAAATGAGACACAACTCTCAGTTTCCGACTCTGAGTTTCCAAAGAACAATTCCCACTGGATTCAAGGCAAATGTCTTTGACACAGACATGCACTTCCAGCCAATATCATGCCAATATCCCAGTAGAAAGCATACCAGGCATACCACATCATACCACACAGAATGAGTTCAAGTCGAAAGTCAATTCATCCACTTCACTGGCAGTCAACAAAAATTGGAAACTGGAAATGCGAAGGATGAGCATGAGCAGACTACAAAGCCTTTCAAAAAGCTGGCCACAAAGACACCATGTGCAACCACTTGGAATCCCGGGACACAAAAGGCCTTCACTCCCTCATCGCCGATGGAATTTTCATTCAGGTCGATGCTTGTCACGGAAACGTTCATCTTCAAAGCTTCAGCTAGTGCCTGGCCGAAGGGAAAGCGACATGGAAGTAGATCAAGGTTGACATCTGTGAGACCTCATGAAATACAAAGGAGACACAACTCTCAGTTTCCGACTCTGAGTTTCCAAAGAACAATTCCCACTGGATTCAAGGCAAATGTCTTTGACACAGACATGCACTTCCAGCCAATATCATGCCAATATCCCAGTAGAAAGCATACCAGGCATACCACATCATACCACACAGAATGAGTTCAAGTCGAAAAGCAATTCATCCACTTCACTGGCAGTCAACTAAATTTGAAAACCTGGAAGTGCGAAAGATGAGCATGAGCAGACTACAAAACCTTTCACCAAACTTGCGACAAAGACACCATGAGCAGCCACTTGGAATCCCGGGACACTAAAGGCCTTCACTCCCTCAGCGCCGATGGAATTGCTACTCAGGTTGATGCTTGTCACGGAGGTGTTCTTTTTCAAAGCTTCAGCCAGTGCCTGGCCAAAGGGAAAGCGACTTGGAAGTAGATCAAGGTTGACATCTGTGAGACCTCATGAAATACAAAGGAGACACAACTCTCAGTTTCCGACTCTGAGTTTCCAAACAACAATTCCCACTGGATTCAGGGCAAATGTCTGTGTCATGAGCAGCCACTTGGAATCCCGGGACACAAAAGGCCTTCACGCCTTCATCGCCGATGCGGTTGGCACCCAGGTCGATGCTTGTCACGGAAGTGTTCGTCTTCAAAGCTTCAGCTAGTGCCTGGCAAAAGGGAAAGCGACATGGAAGTAGATCAAGGCTGACATCTGTGAGACCTCATGAAATACAAATGAGACACAACTCTCAGTTTCCGACTCTGAGTTTCCAAAGAAAAGTTCCACTGGATTCAGGGCAAATGTCGTTTACTCAGATCCATTTCCAGCCAATATCATGCCAATATCCCAGTAGAAAGCATACCACATCATACCACACAGAATGAGTTCAAGTCGAAAAGCAATTCATCCACTTCACTGGCAGTCAACAAGATTTGGAACCTGGAAATGCGAGGGATGAGCATGAGCAAACTACAAAGCCTTTCAAAAAGCTGGCGACAAAGACACCATGAGCAGCCACTTGGAATCCCGGGACACAAAAGGCCTTCACTCCCTCATCGCCGATGGAATTGAGAGACAAGTAGATGCTTGTCACGGAAGTGTTCGTCTTCAAAGCTTCAGCTAGTGCCTGGCCAAAGGGAAAGCGACTTGGAAGTAGATCAAGGCTGACATCCGTGAGACCTCATGAAATACAAATGAGACACAACTCTCAGTTTCCGACTCCGAGTTTCCAAAGAACAATTCCCACTGGATTCAAGGCAAATGTGGTTTACGGAGGTGCATTTCCAGCCAATAATATCCCAGTAGAAAGCATACCAGGCATACCACATCAGACCACACAGAATGAGTTCAAGTCAAAAAGAATTTCGCCCACTTCACTGACAGTCAACTAAATTTGAAAACCTGGAAGTGCGAAAGATGAGCATGAGCAAACTACAAAGCCTTTCAACAACCTGGCGACAAAGACACCATGAGCAGCCACTTGGAATCCCGGGACACAACAGGCCTGTGCGCCCTCATCGCCGATGGAATTGCGCCACAATCCGATGCTTGTCACGGAAGCGTTCGTCTTCAAAGCTTCAGCTAGTGCCTGGCCAAAGGGAAAGCGACTTGGAAGTAGGCTGAAATCTGTTCCAGAAAGGATACAATTCAATCATTGCCAAGTATCTAAACAAGAGTGGTCGTCCCATGTCTAACTCAGTGCAAACCACATGCGGCAAAAATTGTCCAGAGAATCAACTGTTCAACAGATGCGTATCCTGAAAATCTCGGTTCGACAACAGTACTTGGAACTGTTCAGCAAATGTCGCACTGGCTGAAACGTTGCATGGGAACAGTGAACCAACTTATGTCGATTCGATTGACACAAAGAAAAAACGCTGCAGAACTGCCCCAGGTGGTTGTCCAGTGGATTTTTCAGAAGCCCCTTGGGGAAAACTGAATTGAAAAGTGGTACAAAGTCCATCAAGTTCCCTTCCAGAAAGGAGCACGTTGTCACCTTGCGCCGCAACACAGGAAACCTGCCTGAAGACGAACCGGTGCTTCAAAAGGGCGTCTGCCGGGGACTTGATCATCACTCTCCTGTTGAGCATGCCACAAGACACAGAGGTAAACTTGGCAAGTGTTTCGAAAAGTTGAACAAGATAAGTAATATTATATTATATATATATTATATGATTTGGATATCAAAGCAGCGGCAACGGAAAAACTCAAGCCCCTCCGCATGGTGATGCAGGTGATGCATGAAGCCACTCAGAGCCCCAGGCCTTGGCTCCGTCGTCCAAGTCATCAGCCAAGGTGTCTCTGACTGAAGTCTTCCTCTGAAGCAAAGCATCTGCAAGAGCCTGGCTGAAGCCAAGGTCGAGTCGAAGCTCACTGTGACAGATGCACGTTCCCAAGTGTGAAAGAGCAATCCACACTAGGCCCCTGAGAGCTTATATGAAAAGCTTTGGTCGCATGCTGAGACAACACCTTGAGACTCTGTAGATTAGCCCGGCGGAGAGCCAGCCAAGAAATCGACGCTGTGGGTTCTGAGTCTGCTGTGCTTTGCACTAGCACCCAAACAAAACATACACCTCAACTCCACTTCGGTCATATTTGTCATCAAGTCGTCAATGGTCATTTATGATCAGCATTTGCAAAACGTAAGAAAACTTGGCTCACCTCTGAGCAACCTGGACCAACCTTCGAATTGACATGACACTCACTTGAAGCTGATCTGGAAATGCTTCGAATGAAAGCATGTCAAAGAGACTAGGCCTGGACACATCACCAACAACCAAACTGAAGTCAAGCAAGCAACATCTACCCAGAGAGAACATCAGAATACTTGTGATACCCCTTGATGTGGGTTGAGTCTAAGCCAAAGAGCCCCAGAGAGCCCCAGACATCCGATACAGGCCAGGCCTGAGCTCCCTCGGCACCAATCTCATTGAATGCCAAATTCATGTCCCGCACGGAGCTATTGATCTTCAAGGCTTCCGCGAGAGCCTGAAAGAAACACAAGACATCAAAGATCCGGGTTAGCAACGGCAACAGGTAAAATGAATTTGAATAAAGAGACTTGGCTCGCCTCTGACCAACCTAGACCAACCTACGAATCGACATGACACTCACTTGAAGCTGATCTGGAAATGCTTCGAAGGAAAGCATGTCAAACAGACTAGGCCTGGACACATCACCAACAACCAAACTGAAGTCAAGCAAGCAACATCTACCCAGAGAGAACATCATAATACTTGTGATACCCCTTGATGTGGGTTGAGTCTAAGCCAAAGAGCCCCAGACATCCGATACAGGCCAGGCCTGAGCTCCCTCGGCACCAATCTCATTGAATGCCAAATTCATGTCCCGCACGGAGCTATTGATCTTCAAGGCTTCCGCGAGAGCCTGAAAGAAACACAAGACATCAAAGATCCGGGTCAGCAACTGCAACAAGTAAAATGAGTAAAGAGACTTGGCTCGCCTCTGACCAACCTAGACCTACGAATCGACATGACACTCACTTGAAGCTGATCTGGAAATGCTTCGAATGAAAGCATGTCAAACAGACTAGGCCTGGACACATCACCAACAACCAAACTGAAGTCAAGCAAGCAACATCTACCCAGAGAGAACATCAGAATACTTCTGATACCCCTTGATGTGGGTTGAGTCTAAGCTAAAGGCCCCAACATTTATGAAACAGGCCGGGCCTGAGCTCCCTCGGGTTCAATCCGGTTACTTGCCAATTTCATGTCCCGCACGGAGCTATTGATCTTCAAGGCTTCTGCGAGAGCCTGAAAGAAACGCAAGACATCAAAGATCCGGGTCAGCAACGGCAATTTGAATAAAGAGACTTGGCTCGCCTCTGACCAACCTAGACCAACCTACGAATCGAAAGCTGATCTGGAAAGGGTGTGAAATAGTTTTAGGTTTTTTTTTACTGAAGTCAAGCAAGCAACATCTCCCCAGAGAGAACATCAGAATACTTCTGATACCCCTTGATGTGGGTTGAGTCTAAGCTAAAGGCCCCAACACATCTGAAACAGGCCGGGCCTGAGCTCCCTCGGGACCAATCCGGTTACTTGCCAATATCATGAGCCGCACGGAGCTATTGATCTTCAAGGCTTCTGCGAGAGCCTGAAAGAAACGCAAGACATCAAAGATCCGGGTCAGCAACGGCAACAGGTAAAATGAATTTGAATAAATAGACTTGGCTCGCCTCTGACCAACCTAGACCAACCTACGAATCGAAAGCTGATCTGGAAAGGGTGTGAAATAGTTTTAGGTTTTTTTTTACTGAAGTCAAGCAAGCAACATCTCCCCAGAGAGAACATCAGAATACTTCTGATACCCCTTGATGTCGGTTGAGTCTAAGCTAAAGGCCCCAACACATCTGAAACAGGCCGGGCCTGAGCTCCCTCGGGACCAATCCGGTTACTTGCCAATATCATGAGCCGCACGGAGCTATTGATCTTCAAGGCTTCTGCGAGAGCCTGAAAGAAACACAAGACATCAAAGATCCGGGTCAGCAACGGCAACAGGTAAAATTTAGCATGGTGCTCTAACACGTTTTTGAGGGGTCTCTTTAGAAGCACTTAAGGAGTATAATTTCAGTATATTATACTCCTTAAATTTTCAAATTATACCCCTTAAGGAGTATAATTATACTCCTTAAATTCTTAAATTATACCCCTTAAGGAGTATAATTATACTCCTTAAATTCTCAAATTATACCCCTTAAGGAGTATAATTATACTCCTTAAATTCTCAAATTATACCCCTTAAGGAGTATAATTATACTCCTTAAATTCTCAAATTATACCCCTTAAGGAGTATAGTTATACTCCTTAAATTCTCAAATTATACCCCTTAAGGAGTATAATTATACTCCTTAAATTCTCAAATTATACCCCTTAAGGAGTATAATTATACTCCTTAAATTCTCAAATTATACCCCTTAAGAAGTATAATTATACTCCTTAAATTCTCAAATTATACCCCTTAAGGTATACAGCATAATTATACTCCTTAAATTCTCAAATTATACCCCTTAAGGAGTATAAATAAGGAGTATTATTATAATCCTTAAGTGCTTCTAGAGAGACCCCTCAAAAACGTGTTACAGCACCATGCTATAAATTATGGATGGACACTATACCAATTTCTAGTCTTATTCCGGGCAGAAACTGACGCTTGACAGTTATATTATATATATATATATTATATTTTTGGGGAGTTGTTTTTTTGGTGGCTAAATGATACGATATCAGTGGTATCAGCTATCCATTCTATATTTCCCAACATTATGCACAGGGGGTTATTCCAGATTCCAGGAGTTTTGGTGTACATCTATGTCACAAGCTTCAACATTGAATGGGATGAGTAAGTGATAAATCATGTAATTATATTATATTATTAATATATTATGATATTGTGTCAAATGATATTGGCAACATGTTCTTGGATCAATGAAGAATGAAATTCCAATAGTGGGCAATCATACTTTGATCGCATAAGTTCGGATTAGATTGGTTCATGTGTGGCATTCAATGGCACCCATTAATTTCTAATCATCACCAATTCTTTTCCTCCGGGGGGGGGAGGACGACCAGTTAAATGCTTAGGTTTAATGCAAAATGAGACCACGGGATAATATAATATTATTATTATGTATGGGTTTCATACGAAGGGCCTGGAGAAAAAAGAACTTGGCAAATGGAAGTCTAAATCCGTTTGACTCATTTGGCATTCTGAACTCGTGGATTGCATATTGAATGATTTTTTTGCTCGAGTCATGACAAGGTTTGGACTGCAGTTGCAGCCATGGACGGTGAAATAGATTTGCTGGCCTTGCTTGACACCAGTCCATCTGAAGGACAACCATCTGATGTTGTTGATAGATGCTCAGGGGAATTAGAGCGTCCATCTTCATTTTCAGCTGGTTCAAATGAAGACCTTTCTGATTCTGATCAGCGCCCTTGTCATCGTGATTCTGATGCTGGTTTGAATGTTCGTTTACCGAACATGGTTGGCAAGATTGGGAGAGGCAGACATGGGGAGAAGAGTAGTCAGAAGATGCTTACGCTGCATATGCGTCATTGCAAGTCATTGATTCAGCATCCACATTTTAGAAGTCAGGTTGTGGAACTGTTAGATGAAAGTTCATTTCGAAAGGACGGGAAGCTCATCGGTGTGCGTGCTGAAATGACAACTTGTGGCGTTATTATCAAATTTTCTGAGAAAAATCGCACAGGCAATCGCTTCAAGAAAAACATACCATGGGGTGACTTTCTGTCTGCATGCTACGGCCGTTTCAAGCGAGATACACATATATCTTTAGCTTTGGACGTGTCAAGATCTACAGCAAGATTTATGTCACTGATGGTGTCCTCCGTGTATTTAGCTCAGCAGTCTGTCTTGCTTGGGAAACTTATTGGGCTTGCTTCATCCAGTGCACCATGCTTCTTTATCAGACATCTCAAGTGGGATGAGACGTCCCTTTGGACGTCCGTAAATGCTGATCTGGATGAGAGGAGGCGTGTGGCATCCTCATGGGAGGTGATGGTCGTCCGCCAACGCATCATTCTTGGCTGGATGGACGGTTCTGTGGCAATAATTCGACTTGTGATGCCTCCAGCTGTTCTCCTTTCAGGCTCTGCGCAAAATATCTACTACGCTCTACGGCACCATCCACTTCACAGAGCTGTGCAAGATCTGGTAGATCGATTGGGAGATCTTTGCTGGCACAGGGGTCTCGTCTTGGAGAGTGATGCTGCTTACGCGAACGACAGGCTGGTGGGATATTTGTTGCAGCGCAACAAGACTGATCCTCGCAAATCGCACTTGGTTCATGGGAAGTGCCAAAACCACCAGTCACAGTTTGTGAATGTATCATTGCTGTCAATTGCGGGGCACAATTTGCTATCACGAATGTATGGGCTTGCAGTCTTCATACGGAATTTAGGAAATTGGCTACGCCTGAAGCAGGCTCTCCGTTCGTGGGTGGAAGACACTTTGATATTTGATCAGTGTGTGATGGATGTGGGCAGTGGAGCTGAGCCTCAAAATTCGCACCACCCAGCCATTTTGGAGTTGGTTTCGTATCTTCGACACAACCGAAAGGTTGAGTCGCAGACTGGCGAAGGTTCTGCGGCATTTGAGCGTGCAGTTCATGATTTTTTGGACATGTTCAACAGCAACACAGAGCTGATGACTCCTTGCCACCGCTGTTCACATCATTCTGTACCACATCATCAGCGACACTGCTTCGATCGTTCCGAAGCTGTGAGAAAGTGCGTTGAAGCTCTGACAAACATGTTCCTCAATGCCATGCCGACTGTTCCGGCACCGAATAAGTGGACCACATTGTATCCATGCTTGGATCCTTGGCATTTCTATGGACCAAACTCATAGCTTCCAAAAATGATGGGATAAATTTTGATAAAATCAGTTCAAGTATTGAGTCATCATGGAATCATGAGTCATGAGTCATATTGTTTTTCTTATGTTGTTTAGTCCAGATTAAATAACTTAGGTCAATATCTATGAATTATGAAATGAATGAATCATGAATCAGATCCTAATGACCCAAGATTAGATAAATTGTCCATTAGCAGAAAATGTTTTTTTTGCTGTAGGGTGCCTGTTTTGGGGCTAAGTAGGAAGAACCGCACTATCCGGGGAAGGACAACATTTCTACTGAAAATGCGTTAATTGTTGAAATCATATGACGTGATTTGGTTTGATAATACAAGTCAAATCCTGCTCCCACATGATTTGATTCATATTATATTTATATTATTTATATTATCTATTTCAGTGCGTAAAGTAATTGGAAAGATTGGGGCTTACTAACAGCACAGGCCAATACTATCAAAGGGGTTTTCACTGTATACACGGTGATCTGTATTCTTGGCTTCAACTTCCAATGATACCAAATGATTCAGTACATTGCTTTAATCTAATGGTTTCAATTTTAAATCATTGATTCTAATTTGAATCATATGTTGATTTGCAAACATATGTTGCTAAGTTTGTGTTTTTGGATGTGAAATGAATTCGCCTTTTTTCCCGGCGACTTTCAAGTTGAGGATTTCTGCTTGGCCGGAAGTATTGTTCACGCGTGGTTGCCACAGGCGTTTCAGGCTGCTTATGCCGACATGGCATTCAAAGAATTCTCTGAAGCTGATGCCACGGCTGATCCTAGACTTGTCGAAAGTCTCAGTTTTCATGCAGTGAATGGGCGAAGACTGAAAAGCTCGAAAGATTTTTTGGCCAACGTGGATTCCCAATGGATTGTCAGGTTATTGGCACTGGCCATGGAACCTACCAGAGTGCTGATTTACTATTGGTTGTCATGCCTTGGGGTTAGCTTTCAATTTGGTGAACGACCTGCGTTGTTCAAACTCATTGATCCAAGATGTAGCGTTGTATGTGAAGCCTTGCAACACTACAGTGCTTTGCTCTTGAGCCAGTCTGGGACAGGCCGCTTGGAGCTACTCTGGTCAAGCATTGACTTTGCAAATTACAAGGACTTTTGTGCAATTTTTCCTGAGAGATGCAGAGCCATCCGTCGACTGTTAATGCTTGGGGCTGCATGGGTGTTCAGGCGGCATTTCGTGTACTTCAACAGCGATCATTTGGCATTGATGATGTGTGGTGACAAGGATTCCCATGCAGAAACCCTCAAGACTTTCTTGGGGTTTTGGGAGCACAAGAACCATTGCTGCTTCCCTCCCGGTCTGGCACGAGACTTTAAGCAGTTGGGGCTGCATGCTGGTGACTTGACACATGGAAATTCCAAGAACTTCTTGTACGCGATGGCATCAACACTGCAACTGTCTATAGCCGACGTGGAAGCAATGCATTCACAGAATCGTGCACTGACTGGTGCATCCTTTGCGAGCATTTCTGCCAAGTTCATCAATGCCGAGTCCAAACGTTTGCGTGAAGAAGCAGCAGCGCTTCAGTATGGGAAGGATGGGTTAGGTGACACAGCAGGCAAAGTTGGCCAGAATCAAAGGGGTGGTGGTTTGAAGGTGTCCTTCGCCAAACAAAAAAAAACCACTCCAAAAGGATTGTCAGCTTTGGAGATCTACCGAAAGCATTTTCTGGAAGTGCGGGGTCGGCATGAAACGATCAACCCCTGTTCAAAGGAAATTTGGGATGAGGTGAGGGAGTCATTTTCACAGCTTTCTCCACATGAGAAAAATCTGTATGAATCGATGTCCGAAGACTCAAAGTGTAAGGCAATCCATGCTAGAGCAAAACAGAAACTGGACGCCAAGAATGCTGCGAAGGGTATCCAATCTGCAGGTTCTCAGCCAGAGCCAGCATCAACTGCTTTGGTTCCAGCCAATGGGAATACAATGGTCCAGCATTTGCAAATTCTTCCAGCTCACGAACTCAATGAAATTTTGTCAGGTGACACAGAAATGAATTTTTAGAAGATTCTTGACAGGCAGCAGCAAAGGCAGTCTATGGGTCAGGATTTTTTGGCAAAGCATGATTTTCCACTTGGGGAAAAGACATTGGACCAAGCGTGGCGGTCACAATTGGAGGCTGGGGTTCATGGAAAGGACGCAGCAAAGAGATTCCAACAGCAAGCTGAGCGTGTTGCCAGACCAGATAACGACGATGTTTTTCCAACTAGGGTACTTCATGAAGGACACTGTGGTGAACAGTGTCGTCACTACAGCTGTTCAAGGAGAGTTGCCCTTCATTGCAACACACTGGCTTTGTTCAACTTCATTGTTGATGAGATCCTTGGTTTTTGCGGTTTAGGGGAAGTGATCGGGTGATTCAGTGTCATAGCTATGTTACTTACATTGCATTGTTTGGTCTTATCAAATTAATAATGCAATATTATTAGTATGACAATATAATACAATGATATCATAAGATTCATGTTTCATGCTGCTATGCTAGGCTGGGTTTCCCTGTTTGAACTATTCTAGACTAGTAGACTTGACTTGTTGGAGTCGGTTCCTTATTTATTTATCGCCATAACATGACATTAAATCGTCATGAATCATGAATCATAGAATCATAGTCATGAGTCATGAGTCACAGTAACATGGTCAGGTACAATTGTCAATGGTCTGTGTGATTTGATTGACTTCTGATGAAATTTTATACGGGCGATATGGGCTGCCTTTAGTTTCGGGCGGTTTAATTTTCATTCTATTCATATCTAGAAAGGGTGGTGTAGACACAGCCATATCATAGAACATGGATTTGGGGACGGGTCATGCCGATGCATGCTGGCTAGGTAAAACACGGGCACCAAGGTAGCACGGCTTACGAACAATTGACAGTACAATTCAGATTCAGATTCATAGTCTACCATTTCGTCGTTTTACAGAAAGAACAGAATCATATCTATATATAATATATATAGATTCTGTTTGCAAGAATCTAATGATACGTTATTAAATGAACAGCACAACACATCAAAAACAAAATTTTTACAATACTATGACTAACTTAACAAAAAAATAGAATACTATGGCATGTAATTAGTTAGTAATTAGTAATTAGTAATTACATAATAGAATCTAATAATATAACTCAAATATAATATAATAATAATTATAATTTATATATAATGTTATATTATTATATAATTATGTTATAATTATAATTTTATATAATCATCATATAATATAATAATTTAATATAATATATATAACTATAACTTATATAACAATATAATAATATAATTATATAATATAATAATATATAATATATTATTAACTTAAACATAATATAATATAATTAGCAAAACATAATATAATATAGTATATTCTATTATATTTATATTTTGTTTATAATATGATAAAATACAAGATGCAAAAATAACATATAATATAATAATAATATAATAATAATATAATAATATATAATATAATATTAATAATATTAATAATAATAATATAATAATAATATAATAATTATCAATATCACCTCCCATATAATATCAGTATCACATTTAATATCACCTCCCAGGTGTGGTGGCGTCCAGAACACAGTCATGAACGACATCCTTTGCCGATTTGAAGTCATGGACACGATGGGGTCTCTGTATCTGCAGTATGCATTCGTGACTGCATGTTCAGCGCGTTCCGGAACCAACCAAGCACAGCAGGTGTTTGTTTGTCTACATCCAATCAATTGGGATGTTGAGCTTCAGAATGAGATGCAAAACAAATCAGGTTTATGCGGCATGGTTCTTGACTTACAAGCATTGACCTACTTTGATTTTGGGGACTCGGGCCATTTCCCACGGCAGCCAACTTCAGCTGGTCGGTTGCGCATGTTTACATCAGATCAATTTGCAGCATTTCTTTTGGATTTACCGGTCAAGATAGATTCAACTTTGGATGCTGTGCAAGTTACTGCCCACCTTATCCATTACAAGGATATATTGCCAAGTAGGGTCGTGCTGATTGGGGCAAATGAGTCGTTTGGTGCCATGATTGCAACCCCTGAAACGTCTCCCGCCATCAGTGGAGAGGGTGATCAAGATGAAGCTGATGATCCAGCGGATGATCAGGGTGAGGGTGGACAGGGTGAAGAGTCCCAAGAGTTTGATTTGTTAGCTTACCTCGAGATGACAAGGGCCTCAGAACCCAAGCCTAAACGAAAAAAGACACAACAGGCGAAGAAACAGGAGACCACAAAAGAGTGTAATGATGACCACAAAAGAAATGATCCGATATTGGATGACCCATCCCTTTCAACTTTTCTGTCGCAGCATGACATTGCAGCCCTGAAAAGCGCACGTGATCAATGCCAGATGATGACCGGTGAGGTACATGAATGGATTGCTGGTGAGGGAGTGGGTTCAGGTGAGTCGGAGTGTGATTTTGAGGATGTTGCAACATTACATGAGACTTCTGACGATGCTCCAGCGGCTGGATTAACGTCCTCATCCAGTCGTGCGTGCCCGTCGGATTCTTGTTATTGTTATTTATAGAGAGGTTATGTTGTTTGCAAGTGTGGGTCAGATCTTCCTTCAAGTCAGGCGTCTAAACAGTCAACATTGTTTACACCTGTGACTTTCTGATTAATAGCGGAATGTGTGTGAAGAGTTTTGATTTTGATATGACCGTCAAACCGATGAAACGCTAGATCTCACATTACACGCCATGGATGGATTTTGATTTTGACATTTCAATTCTGATTCCAGCTTGAAGCTATAGGAGTAAATTATTAATTTGTGATTATTTATCATTTATAACTTACTTATAATTTATAATTATATTATATTATATAATTATTGACTATGATATGACTTGATATGATATGTGATATGTGATATGTGTTATGATATAACTTGATGTATAACTAACTGAACAACATTATAATTTAATCCTTTTATAATATATTGTATATAATATTTTTTTAAATTAAATCTATTTATATAATTAGAACTTATAGCTCAATTACATGTTAAGTATCATACAATCAAATCACATCATAATCATATAATCATATACTACATAATATCATATATAAATTATATATAAATATACAATTTATATTATATTATAATATAGTTATATATTAAATTATATCAAATCATATCTATTAAATTATATTTATCATATATTGTATATCAATTCAATCTTGCAATTATATAGTCTATAGTCTATAGTCTTAGTCATTGTATGATCTGATATGATATGATATGATGTGATTCTATGATTATGATATGATGATTGCATAATATAACAAATATATATTTCATGATTATATGATATTATATTATGATATTGATGTATGATGTATGTACTTTATATAACAATCAAATCATATCATATCACTTCATATCATATCAAATTGAATCATATCTATGGACCAGGACCATATCATATCGTATGAGATGATCAATTATTATTATTAATATTATTATTATTATGATTCTGATGATATTGTCATGTTATGTTTTTATATTATTAACTTATGTTTAATGAAATGTCATTCATGTTATGTTTATAGCCGCTTTTGCCCAGGACCCTTCAACGGAAAGGTCGGCAACCGCTACACCTATGACAGATGCTGTCTCCGCTATGCCAGAAGTTGGGAGCAGTGTGACGCCGGGAACGGATGCTTCAAACACCAGTTCGAATCCCAAAGCCCAAAAAGTTGATGTGAAAACTCTTGGGGTTGACCCTGATGGAAGCATTGTACAGGTCAAACAATTGGGTTCTTCAGGGACCATTTCCGAAGTCTTGTATCAATCTGGGCCTAAGACTGTGAGTTTGGGCACAGTGAACATTTTAGTGGACAATAAGACTGGAAATACCACACTTCGCGCACAGTGCAAGAAGCATTCCAAATGCATTTGCTGGATTTCCAGTTCGAGTAATGTAGATGTTTTGTTGGATTGGCTGGCCGAAGGCCGTAGAAACAATCATGATTCACATTTGAATTTAGCACGTGAATTTAAAAAGGGCCTGGGGATGAAAGTCAGAAAATGACAGCAACATCTCAAAACAATTTAGTGCCCACAGCAGTTGAAGTTGGGGAGGTTACCTAGACATCGTCACATCGTGGTTGTCTAAAAAGAACAGGTCCGTGTCAGCGCACAGGGCCATTCGCCAGGGTTTGTGTTTCGGGCAGCTGGGTTTTCAACTTCAGGAAGCTCAAATCATCAACAGTTTGGATTGGTTGGTTGGGATAAGTTACATCTTGCAAGTTCATTGTATGTTTTATGATTCATGATTTTTGACTCATGACTCATGATGATGATTCATGATTTATGATTCTATGATACCATGTTTTTTGATGTATGGTTTGTGATGGTAATTTATGGTTCATGATCAACGGTCAATGATCAATGATACACTGAGCAATTCAATGATGATGATAATGATAATAATAATGACAATGAGTTTTGATCATTGAGATAAATCATTCATTGACAATTGATTGATAATATAATACACTTGATAAATTGTTCATTGACATTGATCATTGATGGATGATTGATATAATAATATTATTATTTATTATTTATTATCAATTCATAATAATATTATTAATAATTATTATTATTTATTGACTTATTGACATTGATGATATTTGATGATGGATATTATTTTATTAATATGATTCAATGATTCAATGATTCATGATTCATGATCAATGAGTCAATGATCCATCAATGAAATATGGTTCATCATAATTCATGATTAGTGGTTTGCAGTTATTTATAAATTTAATTATTATGGGTTTAGGAATTTATGATTCATGATTCATGATTCCATTCCTGATTTATTTGTGTTTGATGGTGAACTTAAATTGTTCTTTCAGATGATTTATGATATGATATGATTCGTGATATGATAAAAAATGATTCTATGATCAATGACTTTTGACTCATAGAAACATCAAACGGGATATCTGGGAGTACATTTTGGAGCCTCAAACGGGACAATTTTGGAGCCTCAAACATGACAATTTTGGGGGCCTCGGACGGGACATTTTCCGGAAAAATTATACTCCTTAACTCCGGACTTAAGGAGTATAATTTTCCCAGAAAATAAGGAGTATAATTTCGTTTTCTGCAACAAAATAGGTGATTATACTCCTTATCCACCCGGAAAATTATACTCCTTAAGTCCGGGAGTTAAGGAGTATAATTTTTCCTGAAATCGGGAATTTTTGGGCCTGAAATTTGGCAATTTTGGGGCTTCAAATTTGGCAATTCCTGAAATCTTTTGGAGTTGAAATTTGGCAATTTCTGGGATTGTTGACAAATTGTTGAGATTGATCGTTGACTTGTAGCATTTTCTTGCGCATAGCAGTCCCAGTTAGGCCAGATTCATAGACTTGTGTTGCGGCATTGGACTCATGGCATCCCAGTCACCATCTACCCCGATGTCGAAAGCCTCTACCTTGCCTCTCTCTCCTACACCTAGACTTCGACGTGGTTTTGCATTTGTGGGTTCTCCGCCACAGACACCACCAATGAAAGGCAAGAAGAGCAAGGCTTCATCCCCCAAGTCTCACACGTCTGGTACTCCCAGTTCCTCTTCCAAGAAGGGACCCAACAAGACTGTGCGCAAAACCGTGCTGAAGGTCAACTCCCCGAAGAGTCCAAAGACATCATCCCCGAAGAGTCCAAAGACATCCTCCCCGAAGAGTCCAAAGACATCTCCCAAGAACCAGGAGAAAACACCCAAGAAGAACCAGTCACCTAAGACCAAGATGTCCCCAGGTATGAAGAAGCCATCGGCCAGCATGAGCCCGATGAAAGGGTCTCCCCGTTTGAGTTTGAAAGACAAGGTGAAGAAGGATAATTTTCAGAACATCTTGGCAAAGATCTACAATGAATATGACGACATGAAGCAGTATAACAAGAGCTTCAATTGCCCGCCTAATTGCACTTGGGCAGTGTCTCTGGGATCCAAAGGGGATGATGTGATGTGTGTTGTATGGGATGATTACGGTACGGATTGAATACGGAATACGGTATCGGCGGTATCGGCGTATCGATACGCACGGTTTGGTATACGGTATATTATATACGGTATGGTATACGGGTATGTATAAGGTATACGGTATACGGTATACGGTAAACGGTATGGTATGCGGCATACGGTTCGTATGTGGGATAGCTGGTTATGAGTCAGTTATGTTACTGTTTTGTTACGTTGTGTGAGGTTAAGTTCTGTTTAGTTTGTTGCATGCAGGAATGAAATGAAAGGTTAAGTTATGTTATGTTATGTTATTCTATGTTATGTTTGTTTTGATATGATTTGGTTTGATGTTATGACAATGATTGTGTTTCGATGGGATTGATATGATATGATATGATTCTGATATATGTTTCGATTCATATGATATTATATGATGAAATTAAAATTATAATATAATTTATGATTCTATGATGATGATTTGACTACATCTGTCCCTCATCATTTGTATGAAAAGTATGAAACAGATTCAGATACTGACTCATACCATCTAAACAATCTTTATTATAAATTTCAATTTGTTATTTTTTTTATTATTTACTCATATCCCCATGGCATCAAATCGTATCATGTTCCACCAGATCATAAAATATTGATTCGGGTTACATCTATGAACTCGTGCTTATGTTATTTATTTCCCCCACATGTATCATACATTTCATATCGAATCATATCATATCAAGTAATTTACAATTTATAATTCATAATATCACATATCATATCATTTTATGGGTTGTCATATTTTGAGGTTCATTTGTATGATCTAACTTGTTTGACATTGACATTGACATTGACATTTGACTTTGATATAGCCACATTGGTGAGTGATATAGTCTAATAAAATTATGTTATTTATAATTTATTGTTGTCTAGTCTATAATTATATTTATAATTATTATTAAATTAAATTATATATATTGAATTATACTGATCTTGTTTTCCTTCCTCCATATGATCCTGCACCCCTACAAGGTTTTGGCGCTCGGAGCTTGAGAATCGCGGCTGGCAGTGCTCGGTGGCCGCAAAGCCGCGCGATTAGTCGAAGTGGGAGAAGGTTCGTCGTGGTGACGCTCAGGGTTGCTACACCGAATCCGAGGACGAGTACAAGTCCAAGTGATACGGGTTCGGCCGCATGGGCCGCATGGGTGTCTGACTCAATAGATGTCAGCACATGGCTCAGCATACATTACCTACCGCTTTTCAAGTTCTTGTAGGTATTGCTAGCCAACTCCTCGATGCCTCCCAGCGTTGGTTTTGTTTCTTTCATTCTTTTCCAGTTGGTGTTGGCTGTGTGATGAAAGCTCTGAATCGGCACGCCGAGGGTTCTTTTGCAAATCATCATGTTCCAAATTGGATTAATTAATTACAGTAGATGTGATGTGGAATAATAGCCTGATGGGTGAAATAGGGATCGCGAGCCTACACTGATTCTATGTATGATTTTTGCAAATGAATATGAACCTGATCCATACACAACAAAGAGGGCTATTAAGGATATTATTGTGTTGTCAGAGCGGTCTCTAGAATAGCCTATGTAGCTGCCATGTAACTGCCTTGCGCAGCCCCGTGCCAAGTTGCAAAGCCGAAGCATTTGCAGATAGTGGCAAACTGTCAGGTGAAAGAGCGAGAAAAACTCAAGAGCTGCTTTTCCTCATTCTGATTCTAATTCTCTATGTTTGGTTTTCTGTCAGGTTGGCTTTGCAAGTCTGGAATTCTTGCTTCTTATCCTTCCTGTATTTGTGTTTTCCTTCTAGCTTCCCAAATTGTTTCTTTGATTTGGGCCTCAGCCGATCTCTCACTGTTTTGAGCGTGATGATTCAAGTGTTGGCAGTGTTGGTTTTCAGAGGTGAAATTGGCAATTGGAATTTCAAAATTTCATTTTCCCTCTTGAGTCCTTTGGCTGTTGTGATGTTGCAGTGACGCATTGATGATTCATTCAGAATTAGACTCATGATGCCATCAAGAATTAGAAAGTGGCACGTTGAACTTGGGAATTTTCCATTCGCATTTTTTTCTTCCCGAGCATTTTGCAGCCAACACCGATTTGAGAGTCTAGATACTCGTGCTTTCCTTTGGTGCATCAGCAGCCGGCGTTATCATGGCTGCGACGAAGAGCAAGAACAAGGAGGACATTTGCAAGTGGTGCAAGAGGGCGTTTGAGACAACTCCCAACCCACTGGTGGCGAACCCGGGGGCTGGTGACCTTTTGAAGCGTCGATGTGCGAATGGCAGAGACTGCCGCCCGTGCTTTGTCTTTATCAAGAACCATGACGTCTACAAGGAGTACACAACTTCTGGGCTTGTGGAATTCTTGGGTGAAGGTTCCAACCAGGATGACTACAACGCTGCCCTGGAAGAGTACTGCAAAAGCGTTCGTGATGGAAAGAAGCGCACTCGCAGTCGAGGTGCGGTCGAGTTACAACATTTTAGGTTTGGGACTTTGGTTGCAGACAGCTGGCAAGAATTCGTAAATCTAATTTTAATTAATTTGTGTATCATATTGTAGCTGTTGGCCTGTCAATCTTTCGCTTTGTGTATCCTTTCATTGCTAGAATGCATTTGATCCAACACTGACATGACATAACTTGACATAACTAACTCTGGTGATGGCTTTGATTCACTGCCGGCAGGTGAGTCGAAGGCAGTTGCAGAGCAGTCGAACAGCTTTGCCACAAAGCATATACTTGGGTACTTGTGGCCAGTTCCATTGCTCAAAAGGCATGAACGCCCGATTCCGAAGAAACTCACCACCATACAGCATCAAGGAAAGCCGTTGAAAGGAGCACTTCTAGAAGAATGGGTCATTGGACCCTCGGTCTTTCTGGATTAACATGGGTTACACTCTATTTATCAAAGATTATGAAAGCATGTTTTTAGATTATTGCCAGTTATGTTACGGCCCAATTGCATCATATAACTTTCGAACATATGATATGATATGACTCAATTCGATCTGCTTCGAATATTTTTGATGATGATGATGATGATGATGGTGATGATGATGGTGATGGTGACGATGACGATGGCAATGACAAAGGCAATGATGATGATGATGATGGTGATGATGATGATGATGACGATGATGATGATGATGAAGAAGAAAATGATGATGATGATGGCGACGATGATGATGATGATCACGATGATGATGGTGATGATGATGACAATGATTCCATGATTCTTTATTGATGATTCATGATTCATGATTCATCACGAGTTGTGATTTATAATTTATCATTCATGATTCTATGACGGGGTTTTGATATGAGACATGGTGTTTCTGATATCATAGAATCATATAATACATATAATATATATATTATAATTATATAAATATTATATATATATTTATAAATTATATATATTATAACATATATTATATATATTATATAATATATTTATATATATATATATATATTATATATATATTATATAATAATAAATAAATGGTCATATATGGGTGTGAAAACAACAAAAGCAGTTTACCTTTTTTCATTTACCACATTCCATTTCCTCCTCCCGTATTTGATGTTTTTCCTCCTCTTGTAACGAATGATGATCTTGCCCACTCTTAGGCGCAGTAGAGGTTGCATCAACCAGCGCCAAGACCGCCAAGCAGATACATGAAATTGCTGATGGAGGATCTTCCGACGATGACAATGCTGCCGAGGCTTTCGAAGCAGCATCGAAGAAGGTCAGAGTCAGCGCCATTGCCAAGGATGATGAACTTTCCTTGAACTTCGTTCCAAATATTTTTTGCACTTGTTTTTCCAAATATTATGTAGTTCTAGTCTTAGTTAGTCAGAGTATTATATAATGTTATACAACGTAGTTAGTAGTAATTAGTAAGTAATTAACAATTATATAATATAATATGATATATGTCAATTTGATTCAATTTCCTTTTTTCCACCCCACATTTTCCAATCATGATTCAAACAAAACACGTCAGGAAAATGCCGGTGAAAGCATCGAATGAAGACGACGAATTGATGAACATGCTCTGGGGTGGCAGTAGCTTTGGGGGAGCCAGCGATGATGCGGAGAACAGCGCCCCTGTGAAGAAGAAGGTCAGGACAGCATCTACCGCTATCCCCCGTGCTCGTGGGGCTCAGTCGTCACAAGATCAAGCAGCCGCTAGTGCTGCATCAGGGCAACAGTCAGAATCCCAGTCTGATGGTGGAGCCAGGTTTACTTTCAGCATGGCTGGTGGTGGGAAGAAGAGCGCGGCTGAGACTAGAGAACTGGACAAGAGTGAAACCCTGGTTCTTCAGTCGAATCAGCTCAAGCATCAGGTTGAAGACGCCAGAGGCGTCATGAATGTCTCCCTTACCAAAACCAATTCCTTGTTGGACAAAGTGGACAGCCGACTCAATGAGTCCACCAAGATCACCAAGAGTTTTGTGGAGATGATCCGTGTCCAGGGTCCCGGCTGCCGAGCTGAAACAGTTTGGCAGTCTTTGAAAGATGCCCGATCCATGCTTCAAGCTGTGGCAGATTTCTTGGAAGCACTTCAAGACAAGGAAGCAGCCCCAGAAACACTGGGTGCTCGTGCACAAGTACTCCGTGACCTGAAGATCTCCATTCCATTGCAGATCAACAACGTTATCTGCCAACGGACGTTGGTGTCTATGTTTGAGGACGAGAAGTTTGGGGCAATTGTCGAGTTTCTTGATCCTGGCTTTGCAGAAGTGCGCCCAGAGGGCATCAAGTCTGTGATTGGGGAAGTGTGGGTGATGAAGTTTCCTTGCCGCTTGTGAAGGAGTTCCAAGCTGGATGCGTTGCCTATGTGATCAACCAATTCTTCCTTCGACACGTTTGTGCTCCGTTGCTCGTTCCAAGAAAGGCACGTCTTTTGTGATTTTCAAAAAGAAAAGCACAGAGATAGGGTAGGTAAGGTGGATCATATAATATATTATATGATATATGATAATATGATATGATATGATATGAGATGAGATGATATGATACGATATGATATGAGATGTATTGTATAATATGATTCGATATATGATACAATGGTAGTAATATGATATAAAGAAATATTAAGTAAATAGTAAATCAATGAATGAATAATCAATAATATAGTATATCTATAATTTATAATTTATAATTTGTAATATTAAATAATAATATAGTAATAATACATTATATAAATTATAAATTATATAAATATTATTTTATTAATTATTACCGGGGCATAGCATGAGTACTGAGCACAGCTTACATACGCTGTTAAGGTTCAAGACTGAGATATAGATTGATATAGTATGACTTAGAGGTATAGCTTGTAATCTAGGCACCGCACTGGCTGGCTATTGACCGAGAGAGGAAAACCAAGTGTGGCAGCCTGGGAAGACGCTCTAGCTGATCCTTATTATATTAATTTAATATATAATATAATAATATAATGATATGTAATTATAAATTAATATCAATAAATAAATATATAATTATATAATTATATTATTCATATTATATTATATATTATATAATAATAAGAGTAAAATCATGTAATATCACACATATTCAAAATATAATGATAAAATATAATATAATATATGAAACTTATTTATTAAATTATATAGATATATCAATGACTACTACTTTGACTTTTTTCATTGGACCAGTTCCCCGTTTTTAGGTCTGATTCGATTGAGAAGAAGAACGATGTGACTGCTGGCTTCAGCAAGCTCATGAGGTTCCTGAACGTTTTCCACACATCACCGGTTGCCAAGATATGCGCAGGTGACAAAAGTGCGCTGAAAGATGATTTGGTACGACTGACATCGCTCCTGCAGGTGGCCACCTCAGACCCTTCCGCTGTCAATCTTCAAGATGCGGAAGCAGCAGAGCAGGCCAAGTCGATTCTCATCAAGGGGAAGAACACTTTCCAGACTGCCATTACCATCTACCCTGCCGGCGTCTTTCTTGCCGAGACCGTGTCCAAGCTCACGTCAAAGTTGCGACAAGGTGCAGCTTTGGTGTCTGAGATCCAAGGTGCTGCAGAGTTTGCAGGAACTTTGAAAGCCATTACCCGTGATTCCATCATGAAAGAGCGTGCTGATGGATCAGACGTGGAGGTGTCAATTCCACAGCAATCAAAGTTTGCAGACATGGTGGCAAAGTTTGTCTGCTTTGAAGAGAAAGCATCAGATGATGCAAAGAAGGAATGCTCTGCTGCGCTGTCCGCGATTCAAGAGCGCATCAAGCAACTCCATGACGCATTGCTGGAACTTGCCGCTTTCAAGTTTGAGAAAAAATTCCCAGACTTTGAGGAGACATTGGGCATGCTTGTGGCAGGCAAGGTAGTGGAGGGCAAAGCAACTGACTTCTTGCAGCTGCTGGGTGACATCGTGGGCTACCAGTGTTTTCCCAAGCTCAACCTTTTGAAGGTGCTTGGCAAGGATCTTGCGGCAAAGCTTGAAGCAAGCCTTTCATCAGTGCAAGCCGTTTGCCGATCGATGCAAGCGGCTGCCTCCAAACTTATCACTTTGGCTGCAGACTCGGTGGATGAGGGGCTCCTTCTTGAAGAGCGATTGGTTTCCTTGTTTTCTACAATCGCTGGAGTTGCCATGATGAGTGAGTTGGAGGCTGTGCTGCCAAAGTGGGCCACTAGCGTCACTGCGGTCAAGCATTTGATCGAAGGTTCTGTCACCAAATTCATGAAGGCATCGACTGCAACTTTTCACAAGTTTGTCGTGCAGATTATGGAGACAGAGATCAATCTCGAAGCAGTGCTTCAGACTGGAGTTGTTGGGACGATGGACATGGACGACAAGGACAGAAACCTATGCATCAAACTGGTAGTTAGTGCTATATATTGTCATTGATCTAAGACTATATATTATATATTATTTTATTGTTATATTATACAGTATACAATATATAAGTAAGTGATATGATATATGATATATGAGATATATGATGTATAAAAATCAAAGTTAAGGCTCGTTTTTAAATACAACGTTCTGGTATTTTTAGATTTTGATGGTATGATCTTCAACAACAATATTATTTAGTTATAAGTTATAAATTATAATTTACAATGTCTATATTAATATTATATATATTATATATATTATATATATATTATATAATATTATATGAATTATATGTAATTATATATTATTTTTATATATATTGTATTATTAATTATTATATTTATGTATCGCGTTCAGATCAACAAAATATGGATTAATTCAACTCATATCATATAAATATGAAGATCATACAATAATAATAATTATTATAATAATATGATAATATGATATCGATATCGACATTTACAACCACATGGCAGGAGGGCAAGAGTGGCCTCGACTATGCCAACCTCTACTTGGCTTACATCTCTAAGATGAGCAGCCTGGTGGAAATTGACGGGTGTTCGGAGGACAGGAAGGTGCAGGTCCATGTGTCGTTCCTTTGCTTGGCTGGTTCTTTGCTTGGGCTATCCAAGTACATGGTGATGTTCCGGGAAAAGATCGATGAGGCTCAGGAAATGAAGCCTTTCAAGCAGATTGTCGATGAAGAGTTTGAAGTTAGGAAGGCCAAAACCAAGATGACGCAGATCTTCAAGATGCAGTTAGTGGCACAGGTGGGCACGCACTTGGCCAAATTTGCCTCATCAATCACCTCATACCTGAACATGATCAACAAAATGAATGACACGGACAAGGAACAGGACTACTTCAACAAGATCATGGGGAAGATGAGCACCTATGTTGTGCAGTTGCTCTCCGTGTGCAACGATGAACTTGGGTGCATGTCGAGCTTGTTGCACAACTCCTTCAAAGCAATGCAGGCAGACCATGACTTTCCCGGCATCTTTCAGAAAGAGCACTTGGACAAGAATGCCATCTCATGCCTAGTGGGCAGCGCTTCTACCCAGTACCTTTTGTTTGTAGGTACCAAATCTTCGGCCATTTGTGAGGATATCAAGTTGACTTTGGAGGCAGTGAGGGTTTTGCCCAAAGATTTGATTCTCACGCCGGCAGTGATGACTATGCTCACGGCCCTTGGTGGTGATTTGAACCGATTTGGTTCTTGCTCGCAGCAAGGACCGCCAAAAGATGGCGATAAGATTATGTTGGCACATTTTTCATATTTCCAAGGGTCGATGACTCTTGGGCAATGCCTTACACGTGACCTGAATCCAGGTGAGACGCGTCTGGGCCTTACAAAGAGATGTTTGGAGATTTTGTCCAATAAGGGCATGCTGTGTGAGGGAAACCTTAAAAAGAAGGTTGAATCACTTTCGGCAGGGAAATAATCCTGCTTCAACACTTGCAATTTGAGTGCCGGTTTGGGTTGCTCCGGTACTAGATGAAACAAGCATTGCCACAGGCAATGGAGTGGAGAAAGAGACGATGGACAGAAGAGCCAGCAGAAAATAGCAGTTGAGCCATTCCGTTTCTATCTGGGGCGGTTCATTTTTTTTGAGTTATTCCAACTGCATTTCGGTTTCAATTAAGGCACCACCAAATATTGTGTAATATGGTGACTTGTACGTTCTGAGCATATTTCGTGCATGCTTTGGACATTTCCCACCATTTGTTAGCTGCTAGATCAAAGGAGATCGGGAAGCCATTGTTGGGATTTGTTGGGGCAAGAGATTCAGATTGTAAGCAATACGTGGTATAAGACAATATAAGGGGTATAATCTGACAATTTAAGCAGTATAATTATACTCCTTAAGGGGTATAATTTGAGAATTTAAGGAGTATAATTTATACTCCGTAAGGGGTATAATTTCAGAATTTAAGGAGTATAATTATACTCCTTAAGGGGTATAATTTCAGAATTTAAGGAGTATAATTATACTCCTTAAGGGGTATAATTTCAGAATTTAAGGAGTATAATTATACTCCTTAAGGGGTATAATTTCAGAATTTAAGGAGTATAATTATACTCCTTAAGGGGTATAATTTCAGAATTTAAGGAGTATAATTATACTCCTTAAGGGATATAATTTCAGAATTTAAGGAGTATAATTATACTCCTTAAGGGGTATAATTTCAGAATTTAAGCAGTATAATTATACTCCTTAAGGGGTATAATTTCAGAATTTAAGGAGTATAATTTACTACTTAAGGGGTATAATTTGAGAATTTAAGGAGTATAATTATACTACTTAAGGAGTATAATCTAGGTAATTTTAGGCGTAAAGAAAACGTGTTAGAGCAACTCCCTAAGGTAAAATGAATTTGAATAAAGAGACTTGGCTCGCCTCTGACCAACCTAGACCAACCTACGAATCGACATGACACTCATTTGAAGCTGATCTGGAAATGCTTCGAATGAAAGCATGTCAAACAGACTAGGCCTGGACACATCACCAACAATCAAACTGAAGTCAAGCAAGCAACATCTACCCAGAGAGAACATCATAATACTTGTGATACCCCTTGATGTGGGTTGAGTCTAAGCCAAAGAGCCCAACACATCCGATACAGGCCAGGCCTGAGCTCCCTCGGCACCAATCTCATTGAATGCCAAATTCATGTCCCGCACGGAGCTATTGGTCTTCAAGGCTTCCGCGAGAGCCTGAAAGAAACACAAGACATCAAAGATCCGGGTCAGCAACTGCAACAAGTAAAATCAGTAAAGAGACTTGGCAAAGC